GCCACCTGCGCATGCGTCAGATGGCCATAGCGTTTCGTTGTTTACAAACAAGCGTCTACCCATGAGCCTTTGCCTTTTTAGCGTATGTTGTTATCGTCGCTTGGGTCTCAATTCTCGTGCGTGCGCAGGTGACGACCCTCCCACTTTAATTCAACTTACTGTAATTCACATTACGCAACTGAAATGTATATTTACTTGTGTGATCGACCACGTTGTCATGTTATACCTAATTGTGATGGTCTTATCAAGACAATTTAACGGTATCATATTCATAGGTGCTCTGCAACTGGTGGTAGAATTTGCCAAAGGGGGCGATCTACTTGCTCATTTACAACGTTTAGAATTACAGAAAACAGTGATGGATATGCCAAAAGAAGGGGAATTTCTTATGACCCTGGCAATACACGTGGCACAGGGATTAGAGTTTTTACATCACAAGCAAGTAAGTACGAGCAAATTATGAGACTTGCGATACAGTAGCGTGGCACACCAGTTTGATATCACTGAATCTTCCACAAAATACATTCATCGTAAACTTTTAATAATGTACGTTACTCCTGTTTTCTGCTTTGATTAAGCCAACAAATTAAATAATTTCCTGTCAGTATCTGTCACTTTATCGCGTATTTGAACATATTATTATTTTTTTAGAATCAACGTGGTAAACAATATGTACAGTGAAGTATAGATTGTGTGCATATAGAGTGAATTTATATCCCCTGTAACAATTTTCAGGTTATCCACAGAGATATAGCAGCACGTAATGTGGTTATTTACGGTGATGGCATCGGCAAAATATGTGATCTGGGTTTATCTAGAGATGTGTACCAATCTATTTATCGACGACCACCATGTCCTCAAGACGACGAGCAGGATATACGACTACCAATAAGATGGATGGCACCAGAAACTCTAGAGGGCGATTTTGTTTACTCTCACAAGAGCGACATGTAAGGATGTAGTGAGTCGTTTATGTTGAATGAACCAACATACATAAATATACATTTTCTCCGGACTAGATTGTATTGCGATATGGTATTGTGTCGTTAGTGTGTGTTTGCGTTATCTCATTATATCGTGGTTTATTACGTAATAACGTCATATTGTCACGTAAAATCTCTCTGTTGCGTTCATTTTCTTACTTCTAAAACTTTCTGATAGTGAGAGGTGAAGGTGGTGACGCCATGTCTTGGAATTATTCATAATTTAAGTTTGACTAGTTTACTTTTAACAAAATACGATACAAAATACCTACTCAAACCACGTGTATGATTTGTTTGTTTGTTTGTTTTATTTTGCGTCCTTAAATTAAACACTGATGTCATAATACAGTCACGTCATATTACTTATATATTAATGAAATACGTTACATGGAATGGCTCAATTATGGAACCTCTATAAATGTCGCATTTGTCTCCACGAATAAACATATGTGCAATGTGTGTTGTATCAACAGGTGGTCTTTTGGTGTGTTGCTATGGGAGATATCATCTCTAGGTAAGAAAAAGACTCTATGTTCTTCATCTTCATAAATACATATGTGATACGAGGTGTACGGCAACATATAAATTCACTATTCGTGTTCTAGGCTGCCGTCCATTCAAAGATGTTAAGGCAGAGCATATAATGGCCATAATTAAAACTGAAAAGCAGCGGCTGAAGAAATACCCGGAGTGTCCTGATGAATTGTAAGTTACCTATTCAGAGTAGGTTCACGTGCGATCTATATACAGTACAGTACTCTATAATTTCCAATGATAATTTTTCCAATGCATATTTTTATGACAGGTACAACCTCATGATTAGTTGCTGGCAGGAAGAAGCGAAGAACAGACCCCCTGCAGCGGTAATGGTCAAACAACTGAAACGTCTTCAAAGTCAGCAGAAGGTATCCATTTAAACTACAATTACAAATAATGAACTTTACATGAACTTTGATTGTCTATTTCTTGTTTCATTTATTATACTGATACTAGATAATATGTATATATTAATATGTTTATATTTCGAATATATTTGTTGATTTCGAAGTTTGGAATAATATCGCTTGAATTATTCATATTTTGACAGGTGTTCTTCTGCGATGATGAATAATCAACGATTATACTGATGGGGCTTGAAGATTACTACACCTGAATGGATTAAAAATATTACATTAATCTTGCTTACAAGATACAGAATTATTTTATGAATGTACTTGCATTCATAACGTATATTCTAACGATTTCCATTGATATATATTAGTAATACAGAGTTGGTAATGAATCATTGTTGAAATGAACA